GAATGGCCCCACTCGTGATTTTTGAACGCTTGTGCTTGGCAGTGCGGGAATCCAGTGTTGTTCAATGGAATTCACCTTTCAGGGCATGAAATCTCCTGCAGGACAGGTGGAATTTGAAAGCTGCAGGGCTGTATTCATTGGAGGGAGGGAGCATTGGGAAGATTTTGGGAAACTTCCATGGTGGGTGAGGCCACAGGTTGCAGGCAGTTTCTGTGGGTGTGGAGCATTTATTACGGGCATGCTGGAATGGAATGCCAGAGTTTCTCTTTTGTTAGACTAATAGAGACCTCTGGTCTATTATTGTACCTTGCTCTGATGGCAGAAAAGAGAGATCTCTTGGGGCGAGAGGTTTGTACATGAGCGTGCCTTAAGGCCTTGTCTATCTACCAGCAGACGTATGCCCATATAATTCTACTGCTGTAGTTACAGTACTATTGTGCTGGGCTGTTGATGGAGGATAACAATTTGGACCTTTAACTAGAACCTTTCTGGTGTAGATCTCAAACTGCTTCATGGACAAGTTAGTCTCTCAGCCCCACTTGTAAATAACACGCTGATTTTACAGGGGTGAACTGAGGTGCACTGAAGGGAAGCAACTTGCCCATGGCTTCACTGGAAGCTTGTGACAGGACTGAGACTAGAATCCAGGTCTCCAGACTAGAATGCCAGTCCTGTGTCTTGAACCACAAGTCCATGCCCTTTCTTGCCTGTATATAAGCTCTGGAGGAGACACTGAAATGATTCTGATGGCTAGGACAGGCAGGAATGCAGTGTCTTGACTTTTAGAACGTATTACAAGAGCACTGTGGGCCCAGCGGGGTGGAGTGGGCAATAAACACAGACTGGTCTACAAAAATACAGCCATGTCTGCTGGTCACACTTAAAGCAGTGTGTGTGTCTGTCCATCCATCCCTTGAGGGCATGCCGGTGCTTCTCCTCCCAGGCCAGAGAGGGGTGTGTTTTGGGGTAGGGAGAACCCCAGAGTGATTGATTGGTGGGGACAATATGGCATGCGATGGTGTGACGCCATTAAAGGTTTACAGCCTCCTTGACAACTGGTGCTAACTGTCTTTTTTTTTGTTTAGAAATCCTTGAGCTAGGAGGGAGGGGAGAGCAGGCGGTTTTCTCCTCTGCTTTTGATCGGCAGTGCCCGGGTAGAGCGCTCCCCTCCCCAGTGCAAGAGAGCGCTCTGCGGCTACAGCAGCCTGGCTAAAGCAAAAGGGAGAGAAACCTGGACTCAGGCGTTGATTCTTCAGCCTATCGCTGACTCTCTGTGTGTAAATGAAATGGACGTGCAGCGTGAGGTTGGAGCAGGAGGCGATGGCTCTGAGCCTTGGGTTTTACATACCTCCCAGCCCTGGAAGGGCAGACCCCCATTCACTCCAATAGGCTTTGGATCAGGCCCTGGGGGCCAGCTGAAGAAGCGCTTAACACCCAGGGTTGGGGCCAGGTTTTCAGTAGAGCACTACACCCCATGTGCTGAGCTCTCCTGATAACCCAGCTCCGGGTGAGCTTGCCCTGGTCCTCATTTTCGGTGTGAAGCCTCGTGAAAGCCTGTGATGCCCTATCCCAAGCAGCAACGACCTAGTCAATGGGGCCGACCCCTCTTGTGGAGCTTTCAGAGTGCAGCTCTTGTGGTGCGGCCCCGATCCCTTGTGGGGGGTCCCAGCTCAGTCCGGGTCAACACCAGCAGTGTTCTGAGCCCCTCTCTCAGACTGGGTCATGCAGAGAACAGCAGGCAGCTTGGCAGTTGGCCGCATTATGACTCTTGCGGCCAAGTGTGAATTTGTCAGGCCAGTGTTAAATGCCTTCACTTGCTCTCATCCTCCCTGCTCCGCCCTCGTTCCCTGCCCTCCCCCAAATAAACAACTGGTGTAAACATAGCTCTGTGTGTGTGTGTGTGGGGGGGGCAACTGTGCCTGCCCTCAGACTCCGCTTAGCTGGTCCCGAGGCGGGCATGCCAGGCCGAGGCAGGTGTAGGCAGGGGCTGCCAAGGCTCTTGGCTCAGAAGAACATGCTGCGGAACACGGGGATAAATAAGGACACACCGGGAGAATGGGGTGGCAGAGGGAACAGGTGCTTCAGGAGCTGGAGAGACACAAAGAGCCTGTTGTCCGTTGGCCAGAAGTGGAGAACAAAGCAAACGCTTCTCCCCGAGCTGGGGGACTGGCTGCTTGGAGCGGCTGCTTCCTCAGTTGAAAGTCTCTGCTTCTTTAGTGTTGCGCAGTAAATGAAATGAAACAGCCTGCTCCCCCCAACCTCCGAGGGCACTTTCCCAATTACCTCTGGCAAGAGGGGGCCCAGCCGGAGCAGAGACAGATAAGGATTAAAGGTCCTGTTCTCAGCCGGGGCACTTGCTGCAGCTCCATTGAAGTGGACAGAGCTATACGGATATGCACTAGCAGAAGAGCTGGCCTTGTTGAAATCAGTGGCAAAACTCCATACTAACTAGGTATTCTTTAGCTCCTCAGATGCAAGGGGAAAGGGGCTGTGTCTCAAGTGTGAGTCTGCAAGATCCATGCCTGGGACAATGCTAGCATCACTGCTCCTTAAAACCCCAACACCTTTGGGTCTTTGTTACGGTGCTCAGATGCTTAAGTGACTCCTTGGGGCTAACAAAAGACGCTTCCTCCTCTTTCCCCCTCTTTCCCATGAGAGACAGTGTGAAAGTGAATGGATTCCTGCTGGGTCCAATGCTTGCAGGTGATGGACAGGAGGCAGGGGGCCTCAGTGGGAGTTTCCTTTGGAAACATGAAAGCAAATGCCAAGAATACATTTAGAAAATGACAGGTTTCAGAGGAACAGCCGTGTTAGTCTGTATTCGCAAAAAGAAAAGGAGTATTTAGAAAATGAAGGCAGGAGGGGGTGAGCTCTAAAAGGGTGAGATGCAGTGTTGGTGTTATCTCGGGCTGGATCCTTGTCATGCTTCGGTGAAGAGGAACATTTCTGCAGTGGCTTTAGTAGGCCTAGAAGAGATGAAAAGGAGTACTTGTGGCACCTTAGAGACTAACCAATTTATTTGAGCATGAGCTTTCGTGAGCTACAGCTCACTTCATCAGATGTTTACCGTGGAAACTGCAGCAGACTTTATATACACACAGAGAATGATATACACACAGAGAAGAGATGGTGGCATGTTCTCCCCTCCTGACGTGAGATGCTCTGTTTACAGCGTCCCTGGATGGATGCAGCTATGCCCCTGTCGCAGTCGAGCTGTGCTGTGTTCCTTCGCGAGGATGAACAGGGCACAAGGCTCCTTTGAAAAGAGGGTTAGGCTCCCAGCTCGCTCTGAAATTCAGTTCCTTAGCCCTCAGCCTGGCCACGCTGTCCATGTGGGATGGCTGCTCGGGTGTGGAATGCCGTGGTCCACTTGAATAATTCTCCAGAGCTGCCGTCCGGCTCCTTCATGTGACGGTGGCAGGGAAATATGGACTGGTTCATAAAAACAGGGCTCTCCCACTAAGTATGGCTTAATTATTTGTAGAACAGCAGCAAGCACAACCTGCCAGGCACTGTACGCACCCCCGAGATAGCACAGTCCCTGTCTCAAAGAGCTTCCAATCTCGGAAGCTGGCAAGCAGAACTCTGCCCCGGCAGGTGTTGTGGATAGATCAGGTGGGGCGGGTTGAAGCTGGGGTGTCTCACTGACTGGTAGATGCCTGTCAAGTTGGTAGGCAATAGCACAGACTGAGTTTGGTTTTGTGACCATTTTAAAATAAGGTTTGAGTCTGAAGTGACTTCTTTAAGCTTTTGGGCATAGGAGTGGCGAAAGGGAGGTAGGGAGAGAGCACAGCCAGTGAGCATGGGCCGCTTCTGTGAAAGCCTCCCAAATACGGGGTTGGAGTCCACGTTTATTGTGGCTCACTTATATCCATTTCAGCTCACTTTACAAGTAAGAAGGTGTTTTTTTCCAAGTACAAACCCTGGAAGAGTAACTGGGGATCTGAGAGTTAAGCTGGGTTCTTTCATTCTCCTAAATCAGCAGCAGCAATAATGATTTTGTGGGCCAAATACTCCCCACAGTTAATCCTTCCCAACCTCGACATCCTCAGATTAGGCCCCCAGTGACACCTGTGTGACCCCCACCAGAGTCAGTCTGGGGGAATCAGGTGAAGCTAAAAGAAAAGGAGTACTTGTGGCACCTTAGAGACTAACAAATTTATTTGAGAATAAGCTTTCGTGAGCTACAGCTAATTGGAACTTAGGTAACTATCCTGTTAAGGCAAGAGAAGGAGCACTTTAGCTTGCCCTCTGCTAACTGCTTTGGCTCTACAGGGCTAGCAGGAATAAAGCGTAGTGAAAAGGTGTTTATTTTTTGGATTGTCACAAGCTCTGGCTCTGATTATGCACAAGCAGACAGATCTGTTATGTAGGACGGTGCAATCTTTAAACATGTTTTTCTGAGTACAACTGCACTTGAAGCCAGTGGGTCTGGGAAGTCTTGCAATAAATGCCAGGGGATCTCTGATAGCTACAAGTGGTTAGAAGGGATGTTGGTTTTAAGTCTCAGTGGAAAGACGGCAAATCCTTCTGTACAGTGACCCACTAACACAACCCTGGGGCATTGGTTCAATCCTGAATTGAAGGGAAGAGGGCCACCTACTGAGCCATCAGCACAAGGGGCCTGATTCTCCACTCTTACCCCGGTATAAATCAGGAGTAACTCCACTGCAGTGAATGGATTTACACTCTTAAGTGAGAGAGAAGTCTGGCGTAGTGGGAAGCCTTTGGCAGGCTTCATTTCCTTGAGAAAAGTTAGATTTTAACAGCAAATTGCCAAGCCGCTCCTGTCACACCAGCTAAAATCTGTCATTAAAATGTCACAGACCCATAGCAGCTGGGACGCAGCATTATATCTTTCAAACTGAATTTGTGCACAGCCATCTCAGAACGGTGGCATTTTCTGCTTACGGCAACTGTCGAAGATGAGCTTGGCTTTCAGGGTCTCTGTCTTGCTGCTTGTGGGTAAGTTGCCTAACACTCTGCTTTTTGAATTGCAGTTTGGGAATGTTTCCAGAGCTCTTTAAACCTTCCAAGGGGCTTTGCAAACCTGGCTACTTCTGGGGACAGCAGTGGTCCGAGTGCCATAAGGTAGGAAAAGGTGGAAGAGCATGCAAACAAATTTTCAGACAAAGCCCCTGGTTTTAGATGCCCAACTTGTGAAACCAACTTGGGTCTGGTTTTCAGAGGGTGCTCAGCTCTTGGGTAAAATCCAGCTCAAGGTGTAGGAAGTTGGGTGCCCAACAAATGGAGGTGTCAAAAAACCAGTGGCCGCTTCTGAAAAGAGTGGTCTTCCTGTCACATGAAATGGAAGCCGTGAAGTGTTGTGAAAAGGCTATCAGGAGGTTGATGATGGAGGTCACAAACTGACTTTTAGTGTGGTCTCAGCTATTGTCTTGCTGGTTCATGTACCCACTACTGTATGCATCTAAATTGTCCGTCTCGCGGCTCAAGAGGTAGAGCCAGGCATGGAAGAGGAGGTGTGGTGCAGGGCTGGGGAGGTGCATTGGCAAGAAAGGGTGTGAGCTTGTGTTCGGGAAGCTTGCACAGAAGTTACCCATGTTCAGTGGCTGTACTTGCTCCATACCTCACTTTCACCAGTCCTATGCCCAAATGCTTAAACAAGGAAAGAACAACAGGACCTTCTCTGGAGGAGAGCACTCCCCTTGAATATGACTGATGGTTGTCAATTGGTCTTGTAAGTTATATATGGGGGGGCCTGGCACTGCGCTCTAGACACCAGTTTAACTCCAGAGAGGAGAATCAAACCCACTGTCTCCTGCAGTCGAGCAAGGTTGACATGGGAGTGTTGACAGAGTCTTATAGTGCACATCTCAGCAGTGCCTGCCCCACAAACCACAGCCGCACAAGCTGCCTTCATGCTGTGAGGAAAGTGTTCTGCCAGAGAGGTGGTGCCTGCTCTTTGTGGCTGCTGAAATGGCACTGGGTGTCAGGTGTTGCTCTACTGGGATCTCTCTCTGAGGTTCTCAGATGCCAGCAGCAGCAAGGAAGTGGCAGGGTTGTTTAAAGTGGTTTAAGAAGGGGATGTACAGTCTAACACGGGCTAACGGGAGGAAATTAAGCAAAAGAAAATTTGGGCTGCCTATCCTACTAGTGAAATCTGTTACATTGGTAGTAGATGTGTAGCACATTTCATCTCAGCCTCGTTAGGGCCAGATCCCAGCTGGTGGTGTTCAGTGTAGAGTACCATCAACTTCAATGGAGCTATGAAGCCTTAGAACAGTTATGGATCTGATCCCTGGAACTTCACAACATCCCAGTGAGGTAGGTGAATGATTTCCCCTTTGGGAAAATGAGTCACAGAAAGGGGAAGTGACTGGTCCAGGGTCATGCCACAGATTAGGGGCAGGGCCAGGAATGGAACCCAGAACTTCTGTCTCTGAGTTTGCTTCAACCACTGGCCCACGATGACTTTCGATGGAAAGTCTTCCAGTAGAAATGGTGGAAGGGTCATTGCTTGAGACACTTCAAAACTAGACAGGACACAAATAGCTTTGGAAACACTCCTGCCTTGGCTTTATGGACTGAGTGATTTTCTTGGTCTCTTCCAGTGATAACTTCTGCAACAGATTCAGGTCATTTGAGAGCAGAACTGAAATAGCAACGGTGTTTGGTTTATAGCCGTGCTGCAAACTTCACCTGATGTGGTGTCCCACGCAGCTGATTACTTGCAAAAAAGCAAGTAGAAATAGCTACCCCTTTCTGTCCTTAAAGGTATGTGGGAAGAGATGACGATCTACCCAAGATTAGTCTCTTTCCTCCAGTGCCCAGGGGAGGAGAAGGGTCTGATGTCTCGGCCCCTTTTTCAGATAGAAAAGTATTGTTTATGTATCGCTTGAGTCAAACAAGAACCTCGGTTTGTCTGGAAATGCTGAGTGTGTAGAATTGCGCACACACAAAATAATCAAGATTGTGCTTTTAGATAAGTCTGAGGGCTGCTTTCGGGTGGGGGTACAGGAAACAGTTGACGAAAACAAGGGTGGGCAATAATTGCTTTCAATCTTCCATTCTGCGCCTTCGTCACAGCATTTCATTGTCAGAAGCCATTCACCTTTCAGGACCTTGCCGCAACTGTTAGGTAAGTTGTTTTTGTTTGTTGTTTGTCTTTTTCCTTCCGGCGGCCCAGACCCACTTCAGTTCTGTGGGATGCATGCGGTTATTGTTCTGAGATTTTTAAAATTTCTTTCTTATAGATGATCAGCCAACTATAAATTGATTAAACTTTCTGAGCAATGATGCCAGGTGAAAATGTCGGCAGAATTGCAGCTGGGGGAATATATAGGGAGGAAGAATTTTAAGTACATGTGAATTTTGGGGAAGCTCAAAGGCCAGATGATGATCCCCAGCTGGTGTAAGCTGCAATAGCTCCCCTGAAAGTTCTTTAAGGCGGGGAATGTCATTTACTGTGTGTATGTACAGTGCCTAGCACAGTGGGCTCTGCCTTGGCTGAGGTTCCAGGTGCTACTGCAATATAAATATTCAGCAATAATTAGAGCTAGGGAATTTCTTTTTCAATCTAACCATTTTTTGACCAGAAAAAAGGATTTTTTTTTCAACCCCCCCCCCCCCCCCCAACTGTGTGGATTTTAAAAAAAGGCAAAAAACTTTGACAGAGAAAAAAGAAAGCTATGTCACTGGCTATGTATTTTCAGTTTTCCCCTCTCCTCTTCTTTTCCCTTGTAACTCCCCCGCACACACACACTTTCCTGTTTTGCACTGAGGCTGGGAACGGGGCCAGGAGAACACAGTAACATGGGTTTTAAACATTTAAAAATGCATTTTTTGTTTTTTTTTCCATGAAAAACATTGGAAAATGTCAAAATTTTTCAAATAAACTTTCAATAACATGAACTCCCTCCCCCCAAAAAACCAAAACCAAACCAAACCAAACCATTTTCCGACCAGGTCTAGTTATAATCATTGACGGTAAGGGAGCTACACCAGTTTACACAAGCTGAGCATCTGGCCCAAGGCGTTGGAAAGAACGAGGGGCTGAGAGAGAGAATTTTACAATTACACACACAGAATAGATTATTCATCTGTCCGTTCACATTTTAGAGTGTATAATTTACTTCAATTTTTAAATCTCTTCTCATTTAGTAATTCCTCCTTCCCCCCCCCCCAATTTCCCCCTCTCTACTTCCCAAGATTTTTCAGCTACATTTGATCATGACCCCCTTCCTTTCTGTAATTTTTTCACAATGGGGTGTAGAGAAAAAGACAGACTCTTTCTTCTATAACCTAATGGCAGGAGAGTTACTACCCCAGTTAGCTCTTTAGCATAGGGTTTGGCAGTCCCTCTAGAACTCATCCATAGCATTTTGGGGTTTTCAATTGACAATTCTTTTTGGAAGAGCATACCTAGCTTTGGTGCGCTCTTCCCCTTCCCCCTCAAAGATTGATGGTGTTTCCGCTAAATACAGCTAACACCATGTCCCTAAAAACGAATGCAATCTGCGCTAATTAGAGGTTAGCTTTACTATATGGCAAGGTCGCACTTATAGTAAAGGGTTAATAAACAAGTAATAGGTGTTATAAGCATGTTACAGACATGGGTAGTAAGCGTTACAACTGGTTATATCAGTTATAATCCATAGCTATAAGCAAACCATTGATCTGTTGGACGCTAGCCACTGAATAACCATAAATTAAAACATCCTTATTCATGTACTAACTCTGCATAAATATACCCTTAATATAAAGAGTTATCTCTTGCCATTGTGTAAAAAGAAGTTGTAAATTTTTCACATAGCCTTCTCTTGGTAAAACATCTCTGGACATTTACTAAATCCAAAGTTGTCACTTGACCGATTTTGAGTGACGTCTTAAGTTCTTTTGGCCATGAAGCTGCCTTCATAATGACAAGAAACAAGCTGCTTGTTTAATCGTAAAGCTAGGAGTTGGAAAAGACCAGTTAGGTCACCTCACTATATGTAGGTTTCAGAGTAGCTGCCATGTTAGTCTGTACATTTTCTTGCACAAAAAGAAAAGGAGGACTTGTGGCACCTTAGAGACTAAAATTTATTTGAGTATAAGCTTTCGTGAGCTACAGCTCGCTTCATCCGATGCATTCAGTGGAAAATACAGTGGGGAGATTTATATACACAGAGACCATGAAACAATGGGTGTTACCACGCACACTGTAACGAGAGTGATCAGGTAGGGTGAGCTATTACCAGCAGGAGAATGGGGGTTCGGGGGGAGAGGGGGAGGGACCTTTTGTCCTGATAATCAAGGTGGGCCATTTCCAGCAGTTGACAAGAACATCTGAGGAACAGTGGGGGGGGGGGAGGGGGAAATAAACATGGGGAAATAGTTTTACTTTGTGTGATGACCCATCCGCTCCCAGTCTTTATTCAAGCCTAAATTAATTGTATCCAGTTTGTAAATTAATTCCAATTCAGCAGTCTCCCGTTGGAGTCTGTTTTTAAAGTTTTTTTTGTTGAAGAATTGCCACTTTTAGGTCTGTAATCGAGTGACCAAAGAGATTGAAGTGTTCTCCGACTGGTTTTTGAACATTATAATTCGTGACGTCTGATTTGTGTCCATTTATTCTTTTACGTAGAGACTGTCCAGTTTGGCCAATGTACATGGCAGAGGGGCATTGCTGGCACATGATGGCATATATCACATTGGTAGATGTGCAGGTGAACGAGCCTCTGATAGTGTGGCTGATGTGATTAGGCCCTATGATGGTGTCCCCTGAATAGATATATGGACACAGTTGGCAACGGGCTTTGTTGCAAGGATAGGTTCCTGGGTTAGCGGTTCTGTTGTGTGGTGTGTGGTTGCTGGTGAGTATTTGCTTCAGGTTGGGGGGGCTGTCTGTAAGCAAGGACTGGCCTGTCTCCCAAGATCTGTGAGAGTGATGGGTCGTCCTTCAGGATAGGTTGTAGATCCTTGATGATGCCATATAGGTTTTGCCTAGAGGGATTTTTTATGTTTTTGAATCTGATTACCCTGTAAGGTATTTACCATCCTGATTTTACAGAGGTGATTCGTTTACTTTTTCTTTAATTAAAATTCTTCTTTTAAGAACCTGATTGCTTTTCATTGTTCTTAAGATCCAA